GGGGGGGGGGGGCAGGTGAAGGCAATATAGATGGTAAAGCTCCCACAGAATAAAACCTGAACATTCAGGCAACTAATTACAACATTACAGCATTCAGCAGACGCAGGAATAACATATTATTTAGAATTTTAATCAACGAACCTTTGACCTGGGCATCAATAAGACAATATTTTGCACCAAATTCTTCCTGTAGAGCTAAAATTCTAAACTTCCACTCCACTAATTTGCCTTGAAAAACAGATTTTTTATCAGTGCCTTAAATGGAGCACTCTTTATTTGAGGGCTTAATTGATTTCTTATATTGAAACAGGATATGTTCGCCCCCATCAGTAAATCCAATTCGTGACAAACCAAAGAAAGAAACCCTAGTCCCATACATCATAAAGGTATAAATAGCAAGGGAAATGCAGAATCCAAACAAAAAACAGACTTTAAAACTAACAAGGGGAAGAGAGTTCTATAAATAAAGACTTACAACTAAACTAATATCAAGCTTAAAATGTAACAAAAGCATAAAATGTGCAGGAAATTTAGAGGAATTTTGAAGCTTACTCACAACCCTAGATGATCCTTCTGAGCCCATTTTAAATTAATAGGAGTCCAACCAAAAGTGTTCCTAGAAAGAGTAAAGAACGAGGCAACGAGAAATAAAAGAGAGAGGGAATAGGGTGGGGAAGAAGAAAGAGATGGTCTGTAATGAGACAGCAGCTCAACTCACAAGTTACAACACCAAGTCACCGCTACTGTTTTAACCAAGCTTGAGGGAATAAAATCAGGGAGTAGGGACTAAATGGGAAAACAAATACGTTCATAAGATCATTCATTTTTGACTGCGCATTGTTTTTGGGTGAAATTCTAAGAGTCTGGAACCTAAGTATTACTCACTACCGTCCTAACTTTTTGGTTTAATACACCCTAAATAAAATTGGATCAAAATAAAAAGGTAAAAAAATATTTATTATGAACAGTAAAAAATAATATTTGGACTCAAAAAATTAAAATAGGTACCTAAAAAACTGAAAACCATTTTATATATAGCGTATATTTTATATATATAGCGGCCGGTTATGCATGTATTACATGTGCTATAACTTAATTCAAAATTGATCATGTATAGTGAATGTATTACATAAGTTATACCTGGATAAAAGAACAGCCGCCTTCTTCCCCAGGCAGATCAGTCCCCTCCCTCCATTTTTAAAATCTCCCTTCATTGGAGCCTACATAGGTCCCACAAAAAAACAAAAATGTTATATTTTTTCAAAGTGTCAAGGTCTATATGTGGCGTAGAACAAAGTAGGTGGTAGAATTTTGAGAAATGGTGATCCAAATTCACATTTAAACTTTTCAAAAATTTAGGTATTTCTTAACAATTTTTTCCTTATTAATTATTTACATTATTTATATTACATGGGTGTTAACTATTACGCACTTTATTTTGGATATTTTGTGCAACTTTTTTTTTTATTGGTTGTAAGTTGTAGTAATTGTAAACTAGATTTCGTTTTTTTTAAATTCCATAAAACAAATTAGGAATAGTTATAATTTTGTATGGAATTTGCGATATTTGTTGGTGTTTGTCAATTTTACCGATTATTTAAAATTTAGCTAGTTTTTTTTGTTATTTATTTATTTTGTTGAATATCGTTTAATTGGAGATTTTGTTGTTTACTAATAGTATTGAATGTATTTGTGTAATAGTATGTAGATATTAATTGTTTGTTTAATGTTGACTACTTTATTTATTTGCCCGCCATAAAAGTAGTATTTTGATTTCTAATTTGGTTGTTAAATTCCTACTTTGCCCCCCCATATAAGTAAATCAATAACATACTTTAGGATTCTTTGATTGTTGAATAAAAATTGAATAGTTGGCAATATAGAGGATACTCTATCGGTTGTTTGTCGTGAAATCCAAAAAAAATGTATAAAAATTTATGAATTAATTAAATGATAAATAATACTTCGTATCTAATTAATTAATTAACTTTTTTAAGAAATTCCGATAAGTTCAACAGTATGTAGAGTTCTATAACTGACGAATTAAAATTTGAATAGTTGTCAATACAAAAAATACTCTGCCGAATTTTAATGTTAATTCTAAAAAATAACGTATAAACCGTTATGCATTAAATAAATACTAATTAATAATTTGTGTCAAATTAATTAATAAGATATTTAATATATTCCGAGAATTAAAGCTAGAAAAGATTTGTAGGTATTTCTAACTGACTAATAAAAAATTTAATAGATGTCAGTACAAAGAAGAATCAACAAATTTTTTACTGTTTAATTTAAAACATTAATGTATAAAACGATATGAAATAATTAAATGATAAATAAAATATACTTCATATACTTAGATAATATTCCTTATAATCTCAAACAACGGTAATAAATAAATCTTTCATTTTGAAAAAGTAAGATAACATATGTTTAATTAACATTATTCAATGTATAAACATTATTATGGATCACCCGATTATTCATCCTAGACCCGTGTCACATGAGCTCCTTACGCTCTAGGCATGCCATAGGTCATCATGTATATGGGATGAAGAGTTACTTAGCCAGAACTTCCACCCGAGATGCATTGATGATTTCTGGAGTTTATCGAGGATCATCCACAACATCAGCGTATTGTCGCGTGCCTCACTCGGACATGTTTTTATTGAGTCATCAAGGTCGGTCGATTATAGTTCGACAGACCATTGATCATAGATTTGATCGAGCACTGGAGGCCAGAGACACATACATTCCATTTGCCTACTGGCGAGGCGACTATCACGTTACAGGACGTAGAGGTTTTATTTGGACTACATGTTGATGGTCTTGATGTCCACTACCCGTTGTTGATTTGGGAGTATAAGAGTTTTGACTACCTACAAATGTTAGAGAGGCTCACTGGATTATATCCGGTTGAGTAGTCTACGATTAGTGGAGTTAGCCAATTATAGTTATTGCCTGTTAGGCAGCACTTGGAGGTGCTACATGAGCAGATCACGGATCAGACACCGGTGGAGGGTAGTGAGCGGTAGTATAGGCTATTGTTGTTGATGATATTTGGCAGCATTCTTTTCTAGAATACCTCAGGGAACCTTGTAAGGCTATGTTTCTTAGCTCATCTAGAGCGGTTAGATAATTTACCCATGTACTGTTGGGGTTGTGCCATTCTAGCGTCCCTATATAGGCGGCTCTGTAGGGCGTTGATGGGTAGCGTGAGGGACGTCGCTGGATTTATTCCGCTTCTGCAGGTGATAACATTATCAATTCTTTTCATGAATATCATATATGTATTAAAAATACTCAGTTTTACGTCCACAATTAATATTAGCTTTGGGCTTGGGAGAGATTCTTACAAATGCAGCCCCCTCCAGGACCACTAACTCTAGATGCACCATCATGGCTACTACTACCCGATTCTAGGAGGTGGGTAGATAGGAGAGGTCACGCCGACGACATCGAGGCTCAATATCATCTCTTTCTCGACAGGAATATGTTGGATCTACAAGATGGTGATAAGGTAAATATTTGACTTAGTATGTTTGTTAATACATGAATTGTCTTGTGTTTACTTGTTGTTCGTGTGTTTAATAAATAGTTCATATGGATGCAATATAGCGACGAGCTCATCGCTAGTTTGCCAGAATATTGCTCACGAGGTCGATCCGTGTGGCTTTCTGAGGTCCCACTGATATGTCTCTATGTAGTTGAGTATCATCTGATGGGGAGAGTCCTGCGACAGTTTGGCCGGCCACAACATATACTTGCTCATCCCAGTTGGCATGCCACACACTACGAGCAGGATAATTGCAGTAGAGTTGACCAGGCGTACTTGGCCTAGCTCGAGGCCCGAATAGAGGACTGGGATCAAAGATTTTTCACGTTTTTGCCAGACCCTCCACATAACGGTGTTGATGTTGAGCATGAATACATGGCTTGGTATCGTCGTGTTACTCGCACTCTAATAAGTAATCCCGATCATCGGTAGAGTTGTTGGTATGTTCCATATGCCGGGAGGCACGAGGTACTAGTACATTATCTTATATATTTATATACTTATGTATAATATTCGATTTACTTTTTTTTTTAATTAATATGTTACATCCTATACAGGCTATTGGCTTACATTGTATTCACTAGATAGGTCTGGAGATGCAACAGAAGTTTGGCGATGGAGCGCCGCTACTACACCATTGGGGTTGTCAGGTTTTTTCGCTTGCTACTGCGACATTGGTAGCTGCACGAATGGATGCAGGGTTAGGTTTTGATCAAACGTATGTTCTACCATAGGATTACCATCATGGCCCAGACGTTCCCCCAGCACGTGGTAGACATGCTAGGCATAGCCAGAGAGGACAGGTGGCCCACATGATCAGGGTGGTCAGTGCGGATGTGGTGGTCAACAAGGGGGTGTTAAGGCACCCATGGAGGATATTGCAAAGGGTATATCGGGTGACCAGGGTGAAGCAACGATGTTGGTGATAATATGCCTACCTTCAGACTGTTGTCATCGGGGACTTCATAGTTTAGTCAGCCAGCAACTTTATCGATCGCGGGCACCTACATTATGTTGTATGACTGGGATGCATACTTTCCAGGTGTTCCAGGCATGTCGAGGGATGTGAAGGATCGTTCGGTGCAAAATGTGCACAGCGATAAACGTTTGAGCTATGGTTCTTATCATGTTAGTACCTTTTCCTATCGACCTTTAAAATATCTCTATTATAGTATTATTGTTTAGCAGAAAGATAATATTTTTTTCATTATGTAATGAAGGAGACATCACCTCCGGTGGAGACTGCACAACCTTTATCTAGTCCAGTCCACCTTAGAATTCCCCTCGAGCATTCCGTCGATGAGCACGTGCGGCTATCCACTAAGATGCAGGTTTGGGTGTATTACTATTATTACTAATTTATTTTACTTTAAATATTAGTCAGCAATAACTTATTTATTTTTATATTTTTTTAGATTTCACCATCACCTATCACGGAGACGGTACACTGTGATACCCATCTGCCGGAGATACAGGACCCTATTGAGGAGCCACCTGATATGAAAGTTTGACTATAAAAATGTCACGACCCAAAAATCCAACTAGCCGTGATGGAACCTAACCCAACCCGCTAAGTAAGCCAGTTAACAGAAAACCAATTCAAATGAGATTATATTAAGAAGAGAAAAGATAATACAACTGCTTTTATACAAATATTTTCCAAGGACTGGTAGTACAAATCATGAGCATCTAAGATTTAGATTTTTACAAGACTGAAATAAAATAATTACAACATGTGTTCGAAATGTAAATGAACATAATTCGAATCTAATTCTACCAAGGACAAGTAATAGCCATAACTGGAGCGCAGGTACATCTTCCAATCCAGCTCCCGCCGTGCGCAGCAACATCAACATCCAACATTTGCATGCAAGGTACAAAAGTGTAGTATGAGTACAACCGATATCATGTACTCAATAAGTAACAAACCCAACCTTAGGTTGAAAGTAGTGACGATTTGGGACAAGGATCAAAGTCCAACTCCAATAACCAATAACTTCTCAAAACAACACAATTTAAAGTAGCACAAGTAATAACTTGATAATAAAATGCTTAGCTCGTACACAAATTCCGGAAAATAAATATTTTCTTTTCAAGTATAACAATTAAACTCAAATCTTTTGCCGAAATCACCGAAAATATGAGTAAGTCTGAAATCTGTGATTTTTCTCAAAACCTTTAACGATAGATAAGAAATTCCATTATCAGATGGCATGAGGAAAAATACTTCTTACATATCAAGTATGCATATCTAATATAATGCAACACAATGATGAACTCATGTA